CCATTCCGCTCTGCTTTGAAAATTCACAAAGCAAAGTCAATTTTGAAAACGCTTTTCTAAGTTTTACTCCATTGTTAGGACAAGATATTATGCTATATTTATAGAATCACAAACTGTATCTTGCTTTGATTCCAAAGGGAAATTTCAGACTATTCTGTTGGTTTATGTTATGTAATGTTGTTTTCAATACTCATTAAAAATGTCTCCCGGAGATAAATATAATTGCACACTAGAACTTTCACATAAAATATCCAGTACATGCCAAGACACATGGAAACATTCTGTGTGCAGGTAGGTCATATAAGCCAGAAAAGGCTATTAATATGTAGTGCTGAAAAGAATATTATTCATATCTTCATAAAGTCTTATCTTTTTAGTCTGTGAAAACATGCTAAAACCTGTTATGATTTTGAGCAATGTTTATTTTATCAAGTCTCCAGTTACATGGTTCCTTCAGGTTTCCCCTCCCTACTTCCTCTCCTCTCGAGTTTCTCTGTCTGAAAAGTGAAACTTTCTCAGGTCGGGTGTTTACAGGTATGAATGCGCTCTAATGAGCTCTGGCGTCTTTACTTCCGTCCGCTGGTGCATTTCCAAACTGGTTCTCCCACGTTTTCTTTCATGGTCAGTTTTGCTTCGATATTTTCATTAGATGCTTAGATACCGCGGCTGCTGGCTGCACGCGGCCCCCCGGGCACTGCCCAGTCCTCCGGCGCAGGAGCCATTTCCCCGCAGCGCCAGGCCTCCGTCTGCGCAGGCAACGCCAGCCCAGGAGCACGACGGGCTTTCCCCGCCAGCCGGGCCTGTGCAAGCCTCGGACTAGCAAAGCAGGCGTTACCTTTGCAATGCAGGAAGATTTAGACACTAAGAAGACCTGAACATTAATACTTGTTTTAGACAGCAGCTGCTTCGCTGACGCCATTTCCGAGCACCGGGGGCCTGCTTCGCCACTGGTGGACCAGCAGCCGCGCCGATGCTCGCAGGTGCCGGCTCCCCAGGGGGCCCCTCGGGGCACCGGGAGCGCCTGCGCCCGCACCCCGTGGCTGTCCGCCCCGTTTGCCCGCAGCCTCGCCGCTGCTGCAGGCCCCCGGGCTTCGCTCCCAGGAGCCGCGCCCGTCCGCACAGTCTGGGCTCAGAGGAGGCCTGGAGGCGGGACAGCGGTTTTTCCGAGCAGGTTTGGCGCCTGGGAGCTTCGCGAGGCTGCAGTGAAACCTACTGAGAGGCACCATCTGCTGCCAAGTTTTTAAAGTTCAGTACAGGGCAAAGGACACCACACCTGCCTTAATAGCGCTACAGACGAATAAACACAGACAGAAGTACAGGCCTGTGTGTCTACGAGAGGTCGGTATCGAGGCAGTTCGGGACATGTCACCTCAAAATATGCCATTTGACACACTGATTATGTCATTTGTAGTTTGAGCCGAGGCACAAAATAACGAATGCAGGAGAGACCTTCTCTAAACTCCGCCTTCTGCGGACAGACGCCAAAGGTGCTCCGTGTCGCGAAGCCCCTCGCGGGAGCCTCGCCGGCCAGGGGGTGCTGGCCGGCTGCAGGAGCGGGGCTGGAGGCTCGCTCCGCCGGAAACCGGCTTCCCCCGCCGGCGCTTCTCAGGCCCGCGCGTCTCTGGCTAAAGGCGCCCCCTTTAGCGAGAAGTACTCCCCTCTCGCGGATGGGAGGGGCTGATCACTTTTTTCTGCAATGCTGTTGTGCACGTAATAGCAAAATGCAATGAATGCTCGTACACCTTTCTTCCTCTTTAATCTGTTACTAGTTTATTTTAAGCTTTAGCTCTTGGCCCCGGAGGAGCAGTGGGAAATACTCCTCTGACAGCGCGCCGAGCTCTGTTCCCGCGCGCCCTCTGCTGGAGGAGCTGGGCCCGGCGCGCAGCCGACCCCAGGGCTGCGCGGGGCGGACGCAGATCAGCGTGGGCTGCCCAGAGCCCCGGAGCCAGGAAGGGCCAAAGCCTCGCACACGTGCCGCACACGCGGCGTGAAGGCCCGTGGGAGAGCTCCCCGTGGCCGTGGCCGGGACGCTTTGAGCGGCACGTTTCGTAAAATAGTGGCTCGTACCTCAAAATATAAAATAAATATCCATGAGTTCATCCTAACAGCATAAGCAAAGGATCCATGAATAAATTAATGGGGAGATTAGACAGATCCCTCAGGTGCGCGGGGGGGGGGGGGGGGGGGGAGCGGCCGATCAGCTTCCCGGGGAAGAGGCCGGCCAGCCCACCCGCAGCCCCGTCCCAGCAGCCGCTCACGCCACCGCCGGCTCCCCGGGGCAGCAGGGCATGGGCCAGGGCGGCACTTGGAACCGGGCGCCTTCCTTTCCAGAAACCCGCCTCCGCTCATCGTGGGGAAAACACCTGAAGATACCAAACTGAGCATCTTTCTACAAACTGTCTGACTGCGTCCTCAGGACTGAGCAGCTGCTTGGCCAAGTGGAGGCCGAGGACGCGGGCCGATGGCACAGAAAGGCTCTGGGACAGGAGACGGGCCCTGAGGGGAAGCAAAGGGCTTCTGAATAACGCATGGACTTTAATAAAAAAAATCTATCAGCATTTGTCCGTTATTGGTGACAAATGTACTATGCTGTGTACTCTGTAAGCAAAAATACACGCACGAGACATTAACTGTCGGAGAAACTGGATGCTGCGTAGACAGAAAACCTACGTGTGAGCTTTGCAACGTTCCCATAAATCTGAAATTATTCTAAAGTTAAAAGTATAAAGTAACTTAACAAATCCTGACTGAATCCTCAGTCACGTCAGTAGCTATGCACTGTCTCCCTTACTGTAAATGGAGCGATTTGTGGTGTCAGACAGCAAGTTTCTAATGGCTTCTCCTGCTTCGACCTCTTATTTTTATACATCGTCTTATAGCAGTCATAAAATTCACATTAACTCACTCTTCGAAAAATTATGGATCTGTAACTTTCTGTGTGAGCATTTGATTAATGTTTAACTTTCCAGGGCGGGGAGAAAGGCAAGAATCCGAACGTCTCCACACCAAGCAGTCAGCTCCCGCCCAGGAGAGGCGTGGGTTTGCCGAGCCCCCTGCGGTTCTGGAGGCGCCTGCAGGGCGCGTGTTATGCGGCGCCGGCTCGGAGGTCCTGGGGTGCCTGACTGCCCCCCGGGGTCTCCCAGGCAGAGCGGCACACCCATCGAGGTTCAGGGGCTGGAAACGCAACGGAGTCTTCCCAGGGAAGCCCCCCAGGTTGCAGTCAACACGCTGGGCGGATCCTGCGCCCGGTGCGCTCCCTGCACACCCGCCCGGCCACGGCCCCACGGGTCCCCCTGTCTCCAAGGGCCGCTCTGGGGACACAGCAGTGCCTGGAGTCTGGAGTGCGAGGCTTTGCAAGGACCGGTAGCTGCTCCTGACAGCAGCATGTGTTTTCTTTTCATGAACAGAGGGGGTTTGTGAGGTTTGAAAACATTCCTGCTCGAGTATCTCCAGCGCACTCCCTCCTGTTTTCTCTGAAGGCCGCCTGCTCCAACTATCCGACTACGACCATGAAGACTATCTGTGCACTGCACAGGGGACGCGACAGGAAAAGAAATCGCACTTGCCATCTGTTCTTCACTCCCGCCCTCTGGGAACCAGGCTGTGCCTTAGTTTCCCCCTTTGTAAATGTCAGTTTACAGGTAAGCCATTAGCTGAGAAGATTTAAAAAGCATCTTGACTTTGATTAAATTTTAAATATAAATGAATTCGGTTATATTTATATGTTAAAATTATATTCGCTTGGAATATTTATTATATTTACTTATTTTTTAATACATGTTCCAGGAGACACAGTAAGTTGCTAACAGTGATGATCTCTGAGTGGTGGGCATATTTTCATTTAACCATTTTTGCTTAATTTATTTCCTACAATACAGTACATCTATGAATAATAAAAGGTTGTTTTTACTCTATGCTAACTTGTGCATCCTTCCACCTGATCCCTGCCTTGCAGAAAAGCTGCTTTTTTAATCATAACTTTTTTTTAAGAGAGGGGAAAGGAGACGGAGAGAAACATGAATGCATTTCGTGCGCCCCCTGCTGGGGACCCGGCCTGCAACCCAGGCCTGGGCCCTGCACTGGGAATCAAACTCGTGACCCTTTGGTTTGCAGGCTGGCACTCAATCCACTGAGCCACACCAGCCAGGGCGAAAAGCCGTTGTTTTTTTTAAAGGGTAATCTACTTAATTAAGAAAGTACAGACAACAGTATGGAGACTCTCAGAGAGGAAGTGTGGGAGCGGCAGGCAAGGGTGAAGGGGAGACGCAGGTGTCGGCAGGAGGCTTGGGGTGGCGCGCACACAGCACAGCGTACAGGCCACGTACTGCAGAAGTGCATACCTGAAGCCTATGGAATATTAACCAGTGTTGCCCCTAAAAGAAAAAAAGGGTAATTTATTTAAATAGAAATGTGCTGCAAAGTTCAAACTAAGAATGTTAACAAACTGAGTTTCTATTAGTAAATAAAATGCTTCTCAAAGTTTTCCATGAGGTGTTTGCCTTCTGGATGGAAATTTCCAAATTACCTTCACTGACTGCTGTAAAAACTGCACGAGTGGTCGGCCTGAGCGCGGAGGGGGGCCTGGTGACGCCTGGGTGGCAGAGGGGACAGCCCTCCGTGGCCCGAGGGCTGCAGCGCAGCGTGGCCAGGCCCTGGCCGGCCACGGGGAGATGAGCATCAGGTCAGGGCAGGTCGATCGCTCTGCTGAAAACTATTTGAACTGAGGACTTTTGATGACTGGCTAGTACCTTGAACCGAATTTTCACAGTCGTTCAACTGTTGGCACACCTGAGATCCCTAATAGAAGTTTAAATTCGGGAATCCCTGAAAACACGCTTCAGAAAGTTCCCTGCCTTGCTGCCCCTCATTTCTGCTACAACAGAGAGCTGGGGAGGGGCGCGGTCCCCCCATCCCGGCCCAGCACCAACCTTCTGCAGCCTCCAGGGCCCTGGGCAGGGGGAGCAGCCTTGTGTTTCCCTCAGGTCGGCAAGGATGCCTGTTTCACTCCAGTCACATTAACATCAGATCCACAACTCTTACTTCTTAAGCATCACTTCCTCCTTCTGTGATAACTCCGAGTGCTTTGCAAACCTGCTCAGTCGGGCTTCGCCCCATCGGGACAGCCTGGGGTCCGTGTCGCGGCTCCAAGGACAGAAGTCGGCCGCCTGCCCGTCCCTCAGCCGCGCCTCCGTTTCCTGGTTTACCTGCAAAGCAACTTATGCAGAATTTCAAACTCAGCAAAGTAAAACACGTTTAAATACAGATTTTTAGAAGTTTTTATTATTTGTTTTCAGTATTTTCTCAAAAAAAGGATCAAAGTAGCAACTTCTCACCTGTCTGTTACACAGACATTTGCACGGAATGCAGTTCGTGACGTCAGGTGACATGTGCTTTTTGTGCTGAGATGTTTTGCTTTGCTTTGGGAGTCCGCCTTCTCTGTGTAGGGTTCAGGGTCAGAAGTCTTGCTCAGATGACTGACAGAAGTCGCCCACATGCCCCTGGCTGCTTCGTCCAGACCTGGGGTTACTACCGAGGCCTCAAGGCTCCTGGTCACATGGCTGTTGCAGGGCTCCCTGGTGCCTTCACATTACGGCTGAACTTCAGTAAACGGTTGACTATGATCTAGTTGTGGACCAAAAGGAAAATAGCCACCAGTACAAATAATCTTTGAGGAGGAATTAATGATGGCAATTCAATCTCAGAAAAACCCAGAGACTGAAAAAAATAATAAAAAAAGGCCATGACTTTATGTGTGCATTCATTATACACTGATACTACTAAAGAGGAATCTAAAATTTTTAAAAAATTCATGGAAGAAAAACATCAGTTAAATAAGCATATTCCCAATCTGTGAAGACTGAAATATAACGTCATGTTTTACATGTGACAAAACCTAGGAATTTTTACATACTCAATAATCTAAAATAACATTCCTAAATCCAATAGTTGTCCTTTAGAAACGTCACCTGCATTTTTTGCTGCGATAGAAGGCAGTTAAAATAAAGGAGACACAGAGGATGATGTTGCTCGAAAGAATAGGGAATTCAGGAAACTCGGTGGAGAAAAAGCGCAAAAAACGAGTAAAGCCGTGGCAGAAAGAGGGCGCCAGACAATTTTAAAAGAAGACCAATGGGTACTGATAATGAATTCAATCCCATTCGAGTGGAAAAAAGTCCCATTAAATCTATGTTTTGCCTGAAGGCGGCAGCTTCTTGCATGTTTCCAACTGTCCTCTTGCAGGTCATCCTGAGACTCAGCCCAGCCTCACTTTAAAGTAGGTAAGCAGGTAGGGAGGTAGATAAGGTAACTTAGATAAGATAGTTAGATAAATAATATATTAGATAAGATGATGGAAGGGAGGGAGGGAGGGAGGGAGGGAGGGAGGGAGGGAGAGAGAAAGAAAGAAAGAGAAAGAAAGAGAAAGAAAGGAAGAAAGAAGGAAGGAAGGAAGGAAGGAAGGAAGGAAGGAAGGAAGGAAGGAAGGAAGGAAGGAAGGAAGGAAGGAAGGAAGGAAGGAAGAAAGGAAGGAAGGAAGGAAGGAAAGAAAGAAAGAAAGAAAGAAAGAAAGAAAGAAAGAAAGAAAGAAAGAAAGAAAGAAAGAAAGAAAGAAAGAAAGAAAGAAAGAAAGAAAGAAAGAAAGAAAGAAAGAAAGAAAGAAAGAAAGAAAGAAAGAAAGAGAGAGAGAGAAAGAAAGAGAGAGATGTAAAGAGCCAAAACGGTCCGGTAGCTCCGGCGCGGAAGGACGGGGCCCGCAGGCCAGGGTGCAGGCCCGGCCCCTGCGCCAGCAGCGCACGGCGCCCGCGGGCCCTCAGGGCAGAGGGCTCTGTCCTTCTCTGTGCCACCGTGTCGGTGGCTTCTGCTCCTCCCCATCCCTGAGCCCCTGGGCCTGAGCCTGGCGGCGGGGGCGCCCCCCCCCCCGCCCCCGTCCCCCTGCACCAGCCCGGGCCTTTGCGCATCGCCCCCACGGAGGCAGCGGCCAGGCCTGGGCCCTGTGAGAGGAGCGCGCCCTGGTCCGCCCTGGCCCGAGCGGCGGGTGGCTTTTGCTTTGCGTGTGAGGGGGGTGCGGCAGGTGCGGGATTTTCACGTCCGTGGGCCGCCGAGGCGCACGCTGTCGGATCTACCCGCCCCCGCCGCGCCCCGTCCTACTTGGGAGCCTCGGGGAGAGGACGAGGGAGAAGAGTGACGCGCGAACGCGACTCGGCAGCCCCCCAGGATTCCTTCCGCCGTTACAGTTCGTTCAAACTTCAGCTGCCTTTTTTATCCTTTCCTGCCTTTATGGCAGCCACCTCCTCCTCCTGGCTCTGCCGAAGGCCGAAGAGCGTTCCGGTGCCACTTGTCCTCGGAAGGACCCGCCGCCCTGCAGTTTCCCTGTCCGCCTGGCCCCTCCCTCCGCGACGGGCTCAGCCGCAGGCGGGCGGCTCTCGCTCCCCGTCGGGTGGGAGCGCACCGTGTGCGGCGGGGGGCGGGGGGGGGGGGTGGACGAAGCCAGGCCGGCAGAAGGATGGTCATTGTTCAATAGTGATGGGCCGATGGAGATTCGTATTTCTCCTTTTTCTAATCCTGCGTTATGTTTGAAATTGTCCATAATAAAAGGTGTTTCAACAGCTCCCTGAGGGTTGACACCCCGTAGAGATTAAGCTCTGTACTCTAGAAATTGCTTTATACTTAATTTTTATTCTAAAACAGAAGTGTCTGTAAAACCGTACTTAAAAGTAAAGGATTCCACCTCTGAAAGCAGAAGACTGTAAGAAGCAGTGATGAGGAACTTGGCCTACTAAGTTATAAGCCCTGACTATTACATTTCCATCCTATAACCTCCGCATTAACCGTACCCATTGCACAGAAGGTGGTTTTCTTGCAGAATGAGCTTTGAGTTATTCTACTGGCAGCTACTGCACAATTGTGTAGATTCCAGGCCTGGAAAAAAGGATCCCAGTGAAGAAGAAAGTTGAGGGACTAGCACAGCCCTTGATAAAAAGATTCTCCCAGTTCTTCCATCTCTCTGGCTTATTTTTCTTTGAATAACCCCAATGTTCCTCAGTCCACGGTCTGTTCTCAGCACGGGGATCGCGTGTGACGTGCACAGTGTGTGCCCAGCACAATGGCTGGTACTTTCCCCTTCACACCACGCAGCCTCCCTTGTTTGCACGCGTTCTCTTGCAGACCTCACCTGCTGCTTGCCCTGCCTCTCAATGCTACAGTCTCTAGGTCTGAACTTTGTCCACGTCTAGGGCCATTTTCCAATAAATTTCAGGACTTTCTCATATTATCCTCACTTGTACCTCAAACGATATGTCTCACACAGAAAGCATACTATTTATGCCATTCTAGCTGCCACTTTATATCATGCCAGAAATTATGTGCTAAAATATTACCACAGAAAATATTACAGCGTATTTCAAGTGACTTTAAATATTGAAAAAATTCTAAATACTGCAAAATCTATAAAGTTGTATTTTTTAAATGAATGACATTTCTCTTACACCACTGACCATGTCTAAAGAAAAAACAAAACCTACCTTTTGACAAACCAGCTGAAAAAAATCATTACAAAATATAAGAAGTACCCACTAAACTTGTCAATAAACTGTTATAAGTGAACATATGAAATGTAATTCCTAGAAAGGATAAATTCTCCCACATTTGGCAGAGGAGATTAAAATCACTCTCTGAGTTAATTTTTACAACGTTAGAGTGTTACCCCAAATTCCATCAGAAAGACTGCTCCAAATTTTATCAGATTAAAAATGACAGCTTTCACTATTTTTTATGACTGTGTGCAATGGTGTCATGCTGTGTAACGAAAGAGCACAGACCGGATATATGACAGTGACCCCATTAGGTCATGACAGCTGAACAACTCCCTCTGCCCACAGCCAACACGGTGGCGGCCGGGCGGCGGCAGCGCATGGGTCACGTTGGAGGTGAAGCTGGCGTAAGCAAACCTGCTGCACTGCCCGTCGTATAAAAGTACACAGGAATCAAGATGGCGGAGCTGTGAGTGGAAGTCACACTGACCTCCTCCCAGGACCATCCTGGAATTACAACTAAATTGTGGGGAAATCACCTGGAACAAATATCTGAACAATAGCAAGAGAGGAGCTTTGTAACCTTGGACACAAAAGAATCGGCTTTAGCGCAATCTAACTGGGACGGAGTGCGGTGGAGACTCAAGAAGGCAGGAGGGGAACCCACGGGCGGCAGCACCAGAAAGATATTGAAACGGCCAGTTGGATCCCCCTGAGAAGAGCAGGGTCTAAACCATAAGTGGGGATCTCCAGCCCACAGCACCAGAGCTCGAAAAGAGCACAGAAAACAGCCAGCTGCAAAAAGCGGCAGGGTTGCTCCCTGCCAGAGACAGGCGGCTGGAGATGTAGGGAGCCGTTTAAAGGGCCAACGCATAAATTTTTATTTGCAGCCACTTACCCTGGTCTCCGGCAAAGGCGGGGGCCGAATGGGCTGGAGATGCCTGAGGAGAGACTGGGGAAGGAGGCTGTGGGGAGAGAACTGAGAGTGGCCCGCGGGATCCCAGTGTAGACTGCTCCCCCACACGGCAGCAGCCATCTTGCTCAGGCAGAGACCACTCCCCCTGAGTAGCAGCAGCATCAGAGGCCCAAATAGCCCCGCCCCCATGTGGGATCCCACCCTGCCCTGTGCTGTCTAAGCCGCCTGCTGAGTGCATAGTGGCAACCACAGGTAGTAGATCCCTGGCTAAAGGGGGTGCAGATTGGTCTGGAGACACTTGAGGAGAGACTGGGGATGGAAGCTTTGGGGAGAGAACTGAGAGAGTAGCCAGCAGGATCCCAGTGCTGACTCCTCCCCCATAAGGAAGCAGTGTGAGGAGACCCAATAACCCTGCCCCCAGGAGGGACTCTGCCCTGCCCTGAGCTGTCTTAGCCAGCCTACTGAGTGCAGAGTGACTAGATTAACAGCTGAAGGAGGCAGCCACAGCCCGTAGATTCCTGGAAGTCTCCAACAGACTGCCTAAGGTCAGACAGGGACGACATCTGACGTCATCAGAGGCAGATCCAGGAAGTATATACATTGGTCTCCTACCACTGAAGTTCACACCACAAAGTCAGGAAATCAAGACAGATCAACTTAAGAAACAGAAGCAAAAAAGAAGAGTCTCACAAATAATAGGAAGACAAAGAAATAACGCCCAATCGAAGGGAAAGGAGGAATCACCAGAAAGAGAACTACATGAAATAGAGGCAAGTAAACTATCAGATATGGCATTCAAAACAACGGTTCTAAGGAAGCTCAATGAGCTCAGTGAGCTCAGAGAGAACTACAAAAAACTACAGGGAAACAACGAGGAACATACTGCAAACTATATCAGCATGAAAAAGGACACAGAAACTATCAATAAGAGACAAGAAGAAATGAAGAATACAATTTCTGAATTGAAAAACACAGCAGAAGGAATCAAAAGCAGGCTAGATGAAGCCAAGGATCGAATCAACAAGCTGGAGGACAAGGTAGAAAAAGTCTCCCAGAAAAAGCAAGAAAATAAAAAAAAGACTCAAAAAGAATGAAGAGGCATTTAGGGAAATGCAGGACAACCTGAAACATAATAATATCCGTATAATTATGTTTCATAACAGGGATACCAGAAGGAGAAGAAGAGGAGCAAAGGATAGAGAACCTGTTTGAAAAAGTAATGATGGAAAACTTCCCTCATCTGAGAGAAAAAGTCACACAAGTCCAGGAAGCACAGAGGGTCCCACTCAAGAAGAACCCAATGAAGTCCACCCCAAGACACATCATCATTAAAATGGCAAATGTCAAAGATAAACAGAGAATCCTAAAGGCAGGAAGGGAGAAAGATGTAGTAACATACAAGGGAGCTGTGGTACAGCTAGCAGCTGACTTCTCAACAGAAACACTGCCAGCCAGAAGGGAATGGCAAGAAATATTCCAAGTCATGAAAAGCAAAGGCCTGCAACCAAGACTGCTCTACCCAGCAAGGCTCTCAATTAAAATGGAAGACGAAATAAGGAATTTCCCAGACAAAAGAAGGCTAAAAGAATACACTTCCACCAAACCAGCACTCCAAAATATGCTAAAGGGACTGCTTTAAGATAAATAAAAAGAGTCTATGAATACCCAGTTCCTTTCACAGTTGCCAACACTTGATATTACCAATATTTTTTAATAGATATTAATGTGATTGTGATGTGTTAATTGTTCCTTTATTATTTGTTGAAACTCAACCTGTTTTTGTATATTTCATGCCTATTTCTATTATTTTTAAAAAGCTTTAAATGACTGTTTGGTATTCTTTATCAATTTTTTGATTAAATGTTTGTAGAATTTTTTTCCCTAAAGAACAAAACAATTAACCCTTTTTTAGATATTTGCAAATACTTTCCTATTCAATTTCTTGTCCTTTAACTTTTTTATATGTATATTACTGTATAGTCTTAAATGTTTAATATAGTCATATTGTCAATATTTACTTTATAGCTTCTGGGGTTGAATATTTTACTTCAGGTATAGAAAAATATTAGTTCTATTTTCTTCTAAAACTCCTTATATTCTACATATTGATTTTTAATTCACCTGAATATTTCTTGTATAATGTGTGAAATAGGGCTCTATATTTGTTTTATTTCTGGTAATCATGATCCATGCATCTTATTTGTTGAATAAGCCTTATTTTATGCATTGATTTGAAATATCAACTTAATTATATATCACATTGTTAGACAGATATATACATTTGTCTCTAGAATACTCATTATATTTCATTGCTGTACTTGATTATTTCTGTGCTGGTGTCATGTTGGTTTAATTGCTGAGACTTTATAATGTTTTTAAATTTTTTAATATTTTAAAATTAACTTTGACATTTAAAAATAAACAAATAAAATCAATCTGCATTTAAGAAAGAAAGGAAGGAAGGAAGGAAGGAAGGAAGGAAGGAAGGAAGGAAGAAAAAAGAAAAGAGAGAGGGAAGGGGAAGGGGAAGGGGAAGAGAAGAGCAGAGCAGAGCGATGAGATGGAGCACCTATATTTTGTAACAACATGGGTGGATCTGGAGAGCATTAAGCTAAGTGAAATAAGCCAGTTGATGAAAGACAAATACAATATGATCTCTCCTCTAAGTGGACTCTAGTCAACAAAATAAACTAACGAACAAAATAAACCACAAGCACAGAAACATGGAGCAGACGGAAAGTGACCAGAGGGGATGGGGAAGGAGGACAATGGTGGAAAGAAGGGGAAGGGATTAGACAAAGAACATGTATGAGTGACCCCTGGACATGGACAACAGAGTGGGAATTGACTGTGGGAGCGGGGGGAGGGGGTGGGATCAGTGGAGGGGGGCAAAGGGGGAAAAATTGAGACAACTGCAATAGAGTAAACATGACTTAAAAATTAAAAAAATTAAAATTTAAAAAAAAAGCACAGTACACACAATCCTATCCAGTATAGAATGCTTGATGATGGTGATAAAAGACTAGCTACTCCTTCATGTATTTACTATGTGTACAAAAAAAAACGGGGTGCTGTACAAAGTAACCTCCCAGGGTGGTCTGATAATACATCCCTAACTGGGCAGGTCACTGTGGGCAGTCAAGCCCCTGGCCTTTAACTTTAGTGACAGGTTCTAAGCCAGCCCCGGCCATTGTTCCTGTGCATGGAGGTCACACACCTTTGAAACACAGGAAATGATGCCTGCGAATGGGGTGGGGACCCTCAGGGGGCTCTTGATCTTTTTAACTGTCCTGTAATCCGTTCTGGCCTTGCTTCCTCCCACCTCCACGTAACCCTCCTACTTCCCTCCTTAACTTCAAACGCATGAATGAAAACGCACGATTGTTATTCTGGGGGGCATTTGAGCTCTTCTCCCCAACACATCTCATCAGTTTGCCTTAAACTCGGATAAAACTTCTCCATAGGTCTGTAATTTCTTCTGTGGACATTACGCTGCAGGGTGGGGCAGGCGTGGGTTTACAGTTGTTTATATGGAAAATAACACAATAATAAATAAGAATATAAGAATAAACTGTTTCACACACCCACAACTGCAAACCTGTTTTTGCTCCACACTGTATATTTTCATGGTTACTTTAGAATGTACTATTTGTATTTCTAAAAAGTTTGCTGTAAACCAGTATGTCGTGTTAAGCTGGCAGCAGCCTCATGAATCTCGTGTCTACTGCATTTCTTGGTGCAGCATTTTCTCTTGTGCTTGATTTAATTTTGTGTTGTTTTGTAAGTTTACTGTGGCCTAAGTGTACAGTCTTTATAAAGTGAACAGCAGTGGACAGTCATGTTCTGGCCTTCATACTCACTCACCGCTCACTCCCTGACTCACTCAGGCCAGCGTCCAGTCTTGCAAGCTCTATTCACGGTAAGCACCCTGTACAGGTGCACCATTTTTATCTTCTCTACCATATTTTTGCTTCACTTTCTCTCTATTTAGGTACACAGATACTTCCCATTGTGTTACAACTGCCTACAGTATTCAGTACAGTAACATACTGCACAGGTTTGCAGCCCAGGAACAGTAGGCTAAACCATAGGGCCTAGGTGTGCAGTGTGCTTTTCCACCTGGGTTTGTATCATTACATTCCATGATGTTCGCACAATGACAAAATCGCCTAAATCGCCTAATGTCACATTTCTCATAACACCCTCCTGTTGTTAAGGGGTGCACATCTGCAATTCCTCCCGGAGCTCTCTTTCTCATCTATAAGGCTGAGTGAAAACATCCCTTCCAGTTATGAAGTTTCTTCCTGATAATTCTGCCTAAGAGCAGAGCTTCGCTCACCAATTTTTTAAAAATTTAGCCCTGGCCAGGTGGCTCAGTTAGTTGGAGCATTGTCCCTCTGCACCAAAAGGCTGGTTGTGAGTTCAGTCTCTGGACAGGGCACATAACTAGGCTGCCAGTTCAAACAACGGACTGATGTTCCCGTCACATTCATGTTTCCCTTTCTCTCTCTCTCTCTCTCTCTCTCTCTCTCCCCCCCCCCCCCATCAACAAACACATCCTTAGGTGAGAATTTAAAAAAGTAAATACATACACTACATTAAAAAATTTAAAGCTACATTACAACATAGATAAGATTAAGATTCAAATTTGGTTTAAAAAATTGCATGGTTAATTCTAATAGCATCTTATATCAGCTTGGTAATTAACACATTTCTAGAAAAAAATTAAGTATCTGAAATCAATTTATTATAATCTACCCACCTTCAAGTTCTCATCACTTTCTAAATGTCTGCATTTGTTACCAAATTTCACTGAATTTGGTATCATTTCGTTCTGCTGATAGCCTAGGTTTAAAAAAAAAGTTTTTTTTTAATTACAGAAGCATTAAATGACTACTGTAGAAAAATTGAGGTATAAGAAAAAAACCTCCTCAAATAAACAATCTTGAGATAATTATTGCTAATATTTTATATTTACCATATCATTTTTATTTTCCCCTAGGAATATACCAGTGTAAGAAAGAACGTATATGTGTATATAAGATGTATATGCTTTGTTTTAAACATGATTTGGAACACATTACATATAAGTTTCTATCTTGATTTTTTTCATGCAACATTATTCAGCAGCATTTTGTCATGTTATTAAAGTTTTTTCAAAACCATTTCTGATGGCTACATAAAATTGTAAGACTATACTGGGGAATTTAACTATTCTTCAATTGTTGAGCATTTAGTTTGTTTCTTTCTCTTGGTAAATATTTCCAAAGGATTTTTCAGAGTTTCACTATCCCAAGCAATTCAGGAGAATACTATTTCATCTTATTCTTTAAAAGACTGAACATTTGAGTTGTAAATTTTGTCAACCTAATTTGCACTGTTTTGATTATTGAAGTCAATTTTGAAAAAAGGTTTATTTTATTCCAACTCTAGAGAGACAGGAGGAGAGAGAGAGGAAAAAAAACCAGCCACGAACACGGATGGGCGGCCTCCTGCCGCGGGCGTGCGCCCCACCGGGAATCCAGCCCTGGCCGGGCACCCAACCGGCAACCTTTGTTACTGGACGACGGTCCAACCAACGGAGCCACGCCGGCCAGGGCACTGGAGTCATTTTCTTAATGTTTTAATCACTGGCATTGATTCCAAGGAGCATCTGTAACCTTAACAGAGACCAGAGTTACTTTTAATAAAAGTTTGTAAGAATGCCTATTGGAAAACGTGTTCATCTACTGCATATCGCATTTTTAAAAAGGAGGTTTTTTATTTTGAGATAATTGTGGTATCACAGGCAGTTGTAAAAATAACAGAGAAATCAGAGATACTCTTTACCCTGTTTTCCCCAAACGTAAAGCCTGGACCGCTCTAGTGCAGTATCACAAACAGGGTATTGACACTGAGTCCACCAAGAAGCAAGTTCTCCATCACTGCACGCACCCGGCCCCCACTCCTGGGTCCTTTTTCTATAACTTCGCCATTTCTGGGCGAAGCGTGCCCTGGTCACCTCAAGGTCCATCCAAACAAACATCCACGCCCCGGAATCCAGCGGGTCGCCTGGCGGTGGCGGCCCAACCAGAAGCTGGCGGAAATTACGTCAGACAAGTCGCCGGAGGAGGCGGGGCCTCCGTGGGAGCTCGCCCTATCGGAACAATGTGAGGTCGGGGGCGTGGCGGCAGCGGCAGCGAGAGGCCGGGCCGGGGAGCTCGGGGGCGGGGCCGGGGCGTTTGGGGCGGGGTTTGGGCCAGCCGGGGGTGGGGCCTGGCAACCTTTGGCCGCGGGAGCGGCCCATCGCGCGGGGCTGAGGGCTGAGGCGCACGCGGCGCCATGCCGACGGCTCGCGGGGCGAGAGCCTGCACCCCAGCGTTCGGTCCTCGAGCGGCCGCCACCGGGAGACCGCGGGAGTAGCCGCCGCCTTTGTTCCAGCAGCGTCCCCCTCCCGCCCGGCCTGGCCGGCCCGCCGTGGGTCCTGGCGCTCGTCGGCCCGCGCGGGGCGGATGCGGCTGCGGCTGCGGTCCGGGCCTCGAGCGGGCGGAGGAGGCGCCGGCAGCCGCGATGGGCAACTGCTGCTGGACGCAATGCTTCGGATGGCTCCGCCGGGACGCGGGGCGGCTGCCGCGGGGCGGAGGGTAAGCCGGGCCCTCGCCGCCGCCGTGTGGCCTCGCGGGCGTCGGAGTCGGGGCCCGGGGAGGAGTGGGGCGGGGCGCCACGGCGCCCCTCGAACCTGCCGCCCGGTGGTCGCGTCCCCGGCGGCGGGGCCTCCAGGGTGGGCGCGGGACCGGCCCCGCAGCCCGGGAGACGCCCTGCGGGAGCTCCCCTGCATCTTCCGCCCCGGCGCAGCAGTGACACTGGCCGCCGGCGTGCGCGCCCCGGAGAGCTCTCGGGTGCAGCCGCCTGAGTGCGGGCGGAGCGACGCCGCGTCCGAGGACTTGGCCTCGCCGGGTCTCCGCGGCGGCTCGGCTTCTCGGGGCCGGCAGCGGAGGCCGTGCGCAGCCTTTTCACATGGATTTGTTGGAACTTGCAGAGGCCCGGAGCTCTGCGGCCCCAGGGAAGCCCATCCGTACAGCCCCGACTGTCACGATTGGCCATTTGGGTGCTTTTTATTTCACAGGGTGTGGAAGAGGTTAGAACAAAGTCCGCTGGAGTTAGCTGTGTTGTTGCTAAATAAATGTGTCCCGGGAATTCACACTTAGAATTGAAAATACGCCAGGCCACTTGGTGTGAGAAATAAGGCCTTTTCAGTTTCTAGAACAGATGGCGAAGTTACCAGAATGTGGCCCATTTAACCGACATTATTAGGTCACACGGTTGTTCAGCATAAGCAGATGGAAGCCGGACGGTTCATAATTCGTGTCCAGGGCCGCCGGCGTCGGCAGGCACAGCCCCGGGGCTTCCCCGTCCCTCGAGCGGAGGGCCCAGCGCTGGATCTGCGTGTGCCTGTCCTCAGGTTAAGCCGGGACCGCGGTCCTGCGCCCGTGCCCTCCTGCTTGTGGGCAGAACCCGAACACGCAGCCCGGTCGAGGCGGCGAGCGCTTGCGGCTGCGGACCTTGCCGTCCAGGTCGCGCGGTGCGCCGGCTGCGTGGCGCGTCCCGACGCGCGGAGGTTCCTCTGGACCCCGGGTCCGGCCGCGACGGACCGATGACTGTGCCCGTGAGTGGAGCAAGAAATCGATGTTCCTGTCTCTCCCTTCCGCGCGCTCTCCAAAATCAATCAATAAACAAATAAAATGGTATGATGCTGGTATCACTGTTTCTTTTAATCCATAAACGTAGGTTTGCACAAGTTCCCTTACTTGAATCTCCGAATAACGTTACTGTTTTACATTAATTGTAATATTTTAGGAATTTCTAGTAAACACATAGACACAGATGGATATATAATTGTTATTTACAGAATAAGGTTAAATTTTACCTCATTTCAGTTAATTTTTTTTTCCATCCGGTAGTTTTTTTTCCCCCCTCAACTCTCCGCCAGGCCACTTTGTGTGAGTGTCTAGGTAGTTAACTAATGAGTTCATCTAAGAGCAAAAAATTTAGGAGTAATTTATATTTGTCTAAGAGCTCATGGCTCTTTATTCTGTAGGTAGATACTTGGTTGCTGTTATTCCTCAGTACATTATCTTGAACTTTGTCACTGGAGGATCTTGTGTGTAGATCAACACCTTGGCTCTTGATTCTGTATGATAAGCCATTCTTTTCTTGAAACTGTGCACTTGACCTCTGCAACATCACTTTTATCTTTTTAAATTGTTTTTAAATTGATATTTATAGAGAGAGAAACACTAGTTTGTTCTTCCATTTATTAATGCATTCACTAGTTGACTCTTGTGTGTGTCCTGACCGGGGATCGAAACCACCTTGGTACCTGGAGACAACACTAGCCAGGGCCACTTTTATCTTCGTATCTTCCGTGATATTCTTATCCTATCTGTCTATTAAATTTGGCATTTTCTTCTGTCTTTTCTTTGTTTAGTTCCTTTCCCGTATATATCTACTGCTGAAGAAGTTTCATCCATTGGTAGGATTTCAACCACCACCACTTCCAAATCTCTATCTTCTGAGTAAGTCTCTTTGTCAAAGGCCCGGCACTGTCCTCGCCTGCTGAAGAGATGCACTTGGATGTGCCGGGCTCCTCAAGTCGGCCTGTCTAATCTATCTAATGTCTACCTTCCAACAAATACCTGGAATAGTGTATTTTTCTTTTCTCCCAGATTTCTTCCTCTGCTCTATGTATTCCCGGATTCCCTCAACAGCTTCATTCAGTCTTCTCAGCCACCGACCTCATCACCCTCGGCCTCTGTCCGATGAGCTGTTTAGTTTCTCCCTAACGCATGCTGAGCCTGGTCCCTTCTCATTTCTGCCTCAGATGTCGTCTTGCACACGACTGGTCACTGGCTTCAGGGCTGTAGCACGAATGCCAGCGCCTGTCCCTCACGTCGAGGGAGCTCGGCTTCCTGGGGCCCACTCAGGATCGCGCCATCCCTGCGTTGCGGCTTCCTGTGCCCCCAGCTCCTAAGGCCGAATTGCCCGCCTTTCTTCCTCTGGCGAGGGTGAGCCATCATGCTCAGGGGTGCAGCGTGAGGTCTGCTCAGCCAGGATCATACGCAGCTCTGCTCTGGGTAGAGAGTAGTCTCTGTTCTTTCATTCAGAAAGCCGTGTCCATCCATACACATCTGTGAGAATAACATTAAAAGAAAAACATTGAACCTATTCTAATTTCACACTCATTCTGAAACCTTAATATTGCAACTTTCTTGATAAGTGATAACCTTCCATTTGAGAGTAGTACGCAGTTTAAACTACTGACAGGATAATCTAACCTTACTCTATTGTACCAGCCTAGCCACGTTTTCCTTGAGTACAGCATTGGAATTGTAGACTCTGCTTCCTGAGCGCCAGTTAGGGAGGGTGCGTCTGTGAGTCAGTGGGTGGTCTCCCCGCTGCGGGGGGGTCCCCCCCCCCGGGGGCGCACACACCCTCCGCATCTCTTCTCCCCTCAGCCTGGGCTCCTCCCCGTCGCCTTTGCATGTGATAGACTTTTCCTGTCTCAGGGAACTCTGCACTTGTCCGGAAAGGTTACCTTCCCTATGAAGCCTGCTCCAACACTGAGACAATCCTGTCTCCCTGAGGAAATAACATTTTGCACAGGTTTAAATCTGCTCTGTATCAGGGGTTGGCAGTTTTTGTAAAGTGTCAGATAATGAGGCTTTGTAGGCCATAAAGTCTCTGTGGCAGCTACTCCAGGCTGCATGCTTTAGCACCAAAGCAGCCAAGACAATATTCAGATAATTGAATGGCTGTGTTCCAGTAAAACTTGATTTACAGAAACGGGCATTGGGCCAGGTTTGGGCCGTGGACCACAGTTGGCCGAGTCCTGGTCTGTACCATGATTTGGGAGTATGTTTTATCTCTCTCCATGTAAAGTCCAGGATCACTTTAGGGGACTGTAGACTGTTAAGAAAGAGGGGAAATCCACTGTTATTTTCATAAAATCGTTCTAGCAGTATTTTTGTTTCAGCAGCTCAGCTATCATCGTAATTAATGCCCCTGAATGTTCATGCAAGGGGAGCTTTCTGTCCAGGGACCCTGACACATTAGGAACCCTCAGGTGGAAGAAATACCAGTCACTTCAGCTTCGCCAGTGACCCCACCTCCCTGGCAGAAAGGAGCCGTGACCTGAAACTTCTGACAAGAGCAAAAGAAGCAAGTGGTAAAGCGTCTGAGCCTCAGGGAATCGTGGCTGCAGACGACGCGCACAACTTCAACATAGACGACGAAGGTGCCGACATTGTTAAAGCTCCCGCTGACCTCGGTTGGGTCCTCGGTTCACGTGCAGAGACGGCAGCCACGGCGTCAGGCAGGGGCAGGCTGGGCCGCGGAAGGGCCGCAGTGGGCCATCAGGAGAGGTCGCCAGGAGCCCCGACCTGTCCTTAGAGACCGAGGCGGGGACCGTCCACCCCTCGTCTTCCCAGTTACTACGTCGGGATGGGAGAGTCGGACAGGGAGGCCGGCAGAGGGGAGCACGGGTTCATTTGCAACAGGGTGTTGGAGCCTGGGGCCCCCAGAAAAATGAACCCGTGGGTCCCAGACAGATAAGCCTGAGCCATCGCTGGGGCTGAATGAAGCTGTCCTGCTGGGCACCTGGTGAGAAGGCAGGGCTCTTCGGGACAGACAGTGACTCTGGGGACAGAGGTGGCAGGGAGAGGGGAGACACAAAGGGGGATGGAGCCGAGTCTCCGGGGCTGGGAGGGCAGGGCCCTGGGCACAGCACCCCTGGAGTGGGGGCCGGCTCAGCGGCACAGGGCACACGGGCAGAGGCGTTCTTTCCCTCAGTGTTGGCGGCTGTAACAGGAACCACATGGTGAGTGACAGTCATAGCCTCCCGACCCTCCCCATAGTAAAGGAGTCTGAGTGGCTCGTCCTGTCCTGACTCTCACAATAGTTACAGTGTGGACATGTCTGTGGAGTAGGTACCACAGAGATGCTTATTTGACTAGATGGAAGTTTTACTAATGGGGCAGAAGTGAATGATTAATTTTTTAATATCAGCTTCATTGAGGTATAATTGAGAAAATTATATACATTGTGCAGGGAAAGATTAAAATTAAATTCATTATTTGGCCCCAGTTGGAAACATTAATGGAACAGATTATGTGGTTGATGTGTGTATGTGTTGTTTTTATGTGCGTGGGCTTGGAAAGGGAATAGGAGGCACCTACTTTGAGTACATGTATGATCCCGCCACCCAGAGACAACCGCCGGCAGCCTGTTGGCTTCTGTCCTCAGATTTTTGTCATGTTGCATATGTTCAACAAAACTCAGAAGACACTATTATTATAAGGACTTAGTACAATAGTATATTAACAAGCTATTTTTCTTGATACAGTAAAAAAATTTTTAAATTTATTTGTATTCTGCTTTATGTACTAAATATAGTAAGTTAGTTTATTATTACAGGTTTGGTAAATATTAGTGCCAACAGAAAAATATTGACTAAACACTTAAACTCATAACTTGGTTTAAAAATCTGGACTGTTTATATTCTGAGGTAAATTTGGTGGTTCAATTTTTATAAATATAAGGTACTAATATGTTAAAGAATTTAAGGTGATTTGAGAAAATGTTTTTATTCCGTTACATTAATTGTTTTAAGATGAAATTTGATTTTAAAGTTGTTTTTCTGTTCTTCCCAGGTCCAAATATTTCAGAACATGCTCAAGAGGGGAGCATCTAACTATAGAAGTAAGTAGGGTTACTAATTTGACTGGACACAAATACCTTAGGGGGGCTTTTTCAGTTCAGGGGGAGGTCGGGGCCTACGTTTTGGGGGGACTGCAAGCCCCTGTTATTGGTGCTGGTGAAGAGAAGGTCATCGCGGTGTTGGTGGAGGGGTTGGGGAGAAGTTGGCAGAATATCCAGGTCCTAAAAGTAAAAACCAGAAATTAGTTTTTTAAAAAATCACAAACCAATACAAAAAAATAGGTTCAAGATCATAAAGTTTTAAATAATCCTTTTAGATTCCTGTATTTTCTTAACCTTTCATTGTTTTCTTGACCTTTAGACAACAAATCAGTACTAACAAGGAAACCCTTTTTTCTTTCAAGTGGTTATTTATCAAATTATTTATATTTACAATTCAAATATTTTAATAGTAATGATTTTCATTAGGTAATTTTACATACCGTTTATCACATGATCAAATTGTTTGCATTCCTCTCTCTAGAAAGACATTGTATTGGGGGCAGTGACTACCATTTAGTAGATTTTCAGTAAATAGTTACATGGACAAATAGATAAAAGAAATGTTATGAGAAGTCTTGTTTGGGTATCTTTTCCGTCCCTGTATTTTGAGTAGTTTTCCTTCTTATGGCATTAAATTATCCTAAATTCAAGTGGAAAACTGGCAGTGTAGGTTGAAAACATCTACAGAATATTCAATTCAGGGGAAAGTTCTGTTTTTCAGTTTCTGATTTATGTAGGAACTTGCTGTAATTCTCCTTTTTGTTTTTCATATAAAGTCATGAATCAAAAAGATAGCTTGTCTTGACTGTCTGGTAGGACTGTTAAATATAATCAAATGAACTGATGTATAAAGAGACAAAGTATCGTACAAATGTAATGATATATTATTTTTTAGGTGAAAATGTGACATCATTATTTGTGGGAAAAGTACCTTTGACAAATCTTTCTCGTAACACTTGCTGTCTTGTTCTTTCAGTTTGAGAACCTAGTAGAAAGCGATGAAGTAAGTATTTCCACAGTGGTGTACAATGCACATCGTTTTCTGTGCTCATCTAATTAGTTCTAACAATAAATTAGTTTTTAAATAGCATTTACTTAATTTTATTTTAGAATTTTATCTTTTGGTTTTTATTTTTACTGTTTAGTTATTTACTTTCATTAATTTATATTAGCAAGTAATTCATTATTACTTATAATTATAGTGCTCCTGTAGAACATGTATATGTAATTTCATTTATATACAGTTCTGAATGTCAGTTATGTATATTATGCATATCAGTTATTTATATATACACAATTTTTAATTGTCTAGTTTTTTGTACAGCTATATAAAACAGGTTTTGAAAGGTATTGGCTTGCTTAAAACAAAATTCAGCTAATGAAGAATTTTAATTTGTTTTAATTTTTCGCACAGGGGGAAAGCCCAGGAAGCAGTCACAGGTACGGTTGTTGGCTTGTCTGAGTGATGTCTGTCTGTCTGCAGAATCCCTCCAAGAGCCAGCTCTGTCGTCTGTTTGCCTTGAACACTTTACATTTCAAACCCTGACTTTTCTCTTCCTACAAGATTGAAGCAAATAAAATCTTAAAAAATCGTTGTGAGCATTAAATAATTTAATGGGCATAGTGCCTCGGTGCTTTCCTGTTGAACCTAAGTTGCTACGTTTTATTTCTTAAAGATTTTACTTATGTTTAAAAATATTTTTTTTATTTATTTTTAGAGAGAGGGGAAGGGAAGGAGAGAGGGAGAGAAACATCCCTGTGTGGTTGCGACTCACACGCCCCCTGCTGGGGACCCGGCCCCAACCCAGGCCTGGGCCCTGCCTGGGAGTGGCGCCTGCCGACCTTTGGTTTGCAGACCGGCACTCAGTCCACTGAGCCAGGGCTGGGTTTTGGGGGTTTTTTCATGAGTAAAAAACCATTTGCATTTTCTTTATTTTTTTAACTTTATCTCCTTTCACTTTCTTATGATGTTCTAAAGTTGTTTTAATAATTACAGGTTTTTAAATCTCTATAGTAACTAAAACCACAATCCTCTTATTTTAGCAATCTCTTTATATTGTTTTAAAATTACTTGAATAGCTACTTGGGAAAGAACCCATCTATATTTGATTCAAAATGTGTGCTTTTTACTCTAATGAAGTTATAGCATCAAACTGAATCAAAACATTGTTATAGTAAAATTTCTAAATTTCACTGGTTTTCTGAGTGTTTTATTTGGACTCAGTCATCAGAAGTTTTCTTTCTTTCTCGCCCTCATTTTTCTGTGTAGGCCTCTTACTGAGGAAGAAATTATTGACTTAAGAGAGAGGCATTATGATTCTATTGCTGAAAAACAGAAAGAGCTTGATATGAAAATTCAAAAAGAGGTAAAAAGTGTTTTATGTTGCTTTTACAGTTTATTATAAAGGATCTGTTTATGGGGGGAAATTGTCATTAATATATTGCATGCAGTGTCATTGGATCTCTTATTTAGACATATACAAATGAAATTATTTAAAAGTTAAAAATTTCAGCCTGTTATAATTTGTTTCCATTTAGGTTAATTAGTATCAGCGATCACATGTGGCCAAAAGTGAAGAGAATACATTCTCCTAAAAAAAAAAAATTCTTAATTCAGAAGTAGGGACTCCTGCAGGACACATTTACCTTTGTGTTTAAAACCAATTTTAAAATGTTAGTGTTTCACAATAAGTATGGTTTTTTAAAAGTCTTTTTGTTTCAGGTAAGTTTGTTCTTAGTAAGTGAACGAAGGACTTTTAACAGTCCTAAATGTTGCATTTATTTTAATGTGTTCACGAAATGGCCTGTAATTGTAATAGATGATCTATAACACCTAATAATATTAAATAAGGATAATTGTGTTGAAATTCGATGCTTAACTTTTATTTGAAATGCAGTAGATTATGACTAAAGCAGTGTGCATTCTGTCAGAATGGCAAGAACTCAACTTTGAAAGTGATTTTTAACCGCTTGACAGTAAGACAGCTCAGGAGACCTCTGGAAGCCCATTTAGTTCGCTTCGGTCGGCGGTGATGCGATGGGCCTTCGGAGGCCCAGCGCCCTCAGCTGGTCAGGGGACAGGCGTTGGAACGATGGCGGAGAATTCTGAGCAGCAGTTTTGGGTTTATGCAGATTAGGTGCTGCGACGTCATAATTTCAGCTTCTAAAGAAGTCTGTAATGAGACTGATTCCATCTGAGTTATTTTGTGAAAGGAGAAATTGAAATGAGAAATCACAAAAATTTCAATTTCATTATGCTTTGTAGAGATCAATTTTTTAATAATTTATTTTTTATTTTATAAATAGGAACATCTTATTTTTAGAGCAGTTAGACAGGTTCTGCTTTTGTTAACCCTTACTGTTTTGTTCATGCACAGTTAGCCTTACAAGAGGAGAAGTTAAGACTAGAAGAAGCGGCTTCACACGCTGCCCAGCGTGAGGCAGCCAGGGCAGCCATGCAGCGAAGGCGCCAGGAGGTGAGGGAGACCCGGCGCCGCGCGGCTCGCGCCCGGGGTCTCCGGCAGCGCCGAGTCGGCACTTTCCTGTCCCCTGGAGTCCGGGGCTTTCGGCTTGACACATGTATCACACCTATATTTTTAGGAAGTTAAAGGCAAATCAGTTGAACTTTTAACAGCCAGAAATAACATCAGATTACACACTTGACTCTGAATGCTGTTTTGCCTTAGATTAGCAGACACTAACTTGATTATCTCAAAGATCAATTTCAGTTTCCTAAAATCCAATATTCTTTTGGAAAAATAAACTTACTCTTAGAACCAGGGCAAAAATAGCCTGTGTAAGTTTACTTTTGTTAGTTTTTTTTAAAACACAAGTCCTTAAATTGTTAGAATTTCTTACACTTCCCTGAATCAGGCAAGCTGTGCAGTTCTGCCCCCCAGAGATAGTGTGTATTTCTCATCTTTATTCTTGTGTCTTTGGGAGATTGGGTCTTGAGAAGTCTTGGGCACGTGTCAGAGAGGCAGCGTATTTACCGTATTTGCCCTGTGCCGATGGCACGCAGTGTCGGTGACAGACGTGACGGAACCCCGGCTGCGTGTCAGGGACTGTTGTTGTCAACAGTTCACAAGTATCACCTGTTTAATCCTTGGAACCACCCAAGGAGACGGGTAGTGTGTGGAGTCCCCGTTTTATAGACGAGGAACATGAGGGACGGGGGTGGTGGGCACCGGCCGAGGGTCCCGCCACGAGTGCAGGGCCGGGCCATGTCCTCTCTGCGTCTGCGACACACGCTGCCCGCACGAACTCTCCACCCCCGCGTGAACCGGCGCAGCGCAGAGCGCGTGCCGCGGCTGGCTGCCTAACTCGGGACGCGGAGCGGCCGCGCCTGCCGTGGGCTGTGGGATCTCTGCGCCACCTGTGTCTGTCGCCGCTGGCTCTCGTGTGCGTTTCAGCAGAGTGATCACATGACATTGGGGATGCCTTTTTTTAGTGAGTTCTAAATAGTGGGAAAGTTTAAAAATTAACTCACCTCTACTAAGAAATAAAAGTGCTTTTCTGCTTATAATGCAAGCAGCTCCTTTTACTGTAGTAAACCCTCTGCTGCTCGCCTTTGAAGGACTGAAGGCGCTGCTTGCGCAGCATCTCTTGGGGTCCCTTTCTGTTTCCCAGACTGAACTGCAGTGCGAGCACCTCACGCAGTCTCTACAGCCACAGGGCGCTCCCCAGCATAGGGGTGCCCGGGCGCCCGCCAGTGCACCCAACCTGCACCGCAGCCCAGGGCCTTTCCAGCCTCTGTCATTGACCACTGGAGACACAGGGATTTAAGGACACGCCAGGGACACACAGCCAGTCGCTGTCAGAGCCACACACTGCCCGGCCTCCTAGGGCCCTGCTACTGCTTTCGCCCAGCACAGAACCTGTACGGTCTCAGCCAGTCCATTCTTGCCCCTGATCCTTCTGGCTACCAGAGGTTCTTTGGTGGAGTAAGAATGCTGAGAGAGAGAGATTAAAGTTATTTTTTTAAACACAGTATTCTGACCACTTAAGGATTATACACTGATAAATTGATAAATTCTACCCATAAATATGATAATGTAGAAGTGAACAGTGATGCATTTAAGGAAAAAGACGTCACTAGAATAACTTTCTAAGTTTTTTTTTTAACTACAAAAGGGCACATTTTTGGCATTGCACAGACGGGCTTAGCAACCACTCTTGTACAGCACTGACTTTGTCCTGCTTCATGTCTCCAAAGCAGGGAAGGCCCAGCGCCGGGCACGGATGCCGCCCCCCCGCCAGTGCCGAGTGTCCGAGGTGACTAACAGAACGCCCTCCTCTCCTGGTAGAAAACATTGCTTCTGCATGTCTGTAGCTCCCTGAAACGTGGCTGCTTCTCAAGGACCCCGTCTTGCAAGAATGCTGAGACCATTTGCTTTCTTTATCTTGAAAATTGATCACCATTTGTTCAAATGGACTCTATTGCATTTTTAAGAGTAGCCACGTCTTCTGTGTAGAAAATGGCGCCGCATCTCACCGAAGGCCGGGGATCAGCTGTTTACGCCTTGCTGTGTGTGTCCTTCGCCTGCTCTTCCCGCACAAGAGAATGCGTGTGCAGTCGGTTTTGGAAGAGCGTTTCCTCATTCAGAGAATCTTTCCACACTTCAGTGGAAAGCTGGGCTGCCAACTAAGCTTTGGAGATGAGACATCAGGATTAACCAAATTCTTACTGTCGATTTAATGCTAACATTAAGAAAATTAAGACCTATTTTAATTCAGTTATTCTATTTGTATAGTAATTATGAATTTGTGTGGGATAGACCATCAAGCCAAAATGTCATCAATTTAAATATGCATTGGTATATCTACTACGGATATATAAAAAAATTGTTTCACTTTATTACAGTTCAGGACCAGAAGACGACTTTGAATCTTGTTTGAGAAATATAAAGTCACAATATGAAGTTTTTCGAAGCAGTAGTAAGTCTTTTAAAATACTCCGTGTCCATTTTCAGTTTCCCTTATGTACATTAAACAGAGGATTGGAGGTCCTGGCTCTGTTTCTGTGGAACTTCTGCCCTTGGTGCACACTGCCCGGGTAGGTCAGCGAGGAGTCCTTCGTTACACACAGTGCCAGCTTTCCTTTTTCAAAAGGAGCTGGACCAAAACACCGTCTCAGGCTATTTCTGTAGATTAATATGGGGAGCCAGGGTCTCCGCTCTCCATTTCTGACCCCACCTCCTCCCAAGAAAAGGAAAGGGGAGCGGGGGAGTCGTGCGAAGTGGACTGAGTGTAATTCTTAGAAATCGATCCATAAGATGAAAAGGGTTTTCTCCACATTTGCAAAGTGAAAACTCCCAGTAATGGAAGCACAGAAGTGGTTCCTCTTGAAAATACAGCCCTCTTTCCATTGGTTTTGTCATTTTTTTCTTTTCCTTTGTTTTTTGCTGCCCTTTTGTACTAGACTGCTAAGAATACCTAGAGTTCATTGTACTTGAAAAGTTGTAATGCCTTTAAGTTTGCATGTTCACTGTGCTGCTCGATGGCGAAACATAAAAAAGGGGAACAGCCCTGTGTGTTGTTCTGAACAAACAAACAAAAAGTAGTGATTCCAGTCTCGGTCCTTGTGACAGCAGAAGGACCGGCGGTGCCGGGGGAAGGACCGGCGGTGCCGGGGGGCGGGTGTGGTGAGGAGCCGGACGACCGCGGTCACTTAGGTTTGGTGTCTGTTCTAGGACTCTCGTCGGATGCCACCGTGTTGACACCAAACACAGAAAGCAGCTGTGACTTAATGACCAAAACGAAATCGACTAGCGGGAACGATGACAGCACGTCCTTAGATCTAGAGTGGGAAGATGAAGAAGGTATTTTATATTCACAGTTTACCCGATACATTTAATTAAATGTGTTAATTTATAGAAATCAACTTAGTATTTTACCTTTTTTTATTAAGATTTTGTTTGTTTTTAGAGGTGGGGGAGAGGGAAAAAAAGAGGGAGGGGAAACTTTGGTGTGTGGCTTCCTCTTGCACACCCCCAACTGGGGACCTGGCCCACAACCCAGGCCTGTGCCCTGACTGGGAATCGAACCAGCAACACCTTGCTTCACAGGCTGGCGCTCAGTCACCTGAGCCACACCAGCCAGGGCCGTGTTTTACTTTAATTAAAACTGAAAGGAATGCAAAACTTTGAAAAATCAGTATAAATAATTTCTTAGACCCTTATTGTATTAGTAATTATTTATTAATAAATTGTTTAGGAAGTTGCTTAATTTTTAACGTTTCTTGAGATTTAGAGAATAAATGTCAATTTCTCATTTTAAGGATTTTGTAACCCAGCCCATTGATCATCAGTAAGAATTGCTGCCCCCTTGTAGGCAACCTGAAGCAAAAAGTTAATTGCCTTGGTTCATTATAAATAAGTTAGCAAGTCACTAGTTTTCTTCGTGCTACAGAAGCCGTAACACAGACATGAGTTTGAATTTTACCTGCATGTCTTCCTAGATGTCGTAGGGGAGGTAGCCTTCTTTATTTCTCTAAGCTGCAGTTTGTATACAACAAAAGGGAACAATAAACCTATTTTAAAGGAGGGTTTATGCACTGGTGTGCTCTTTCTGCCTGGCACAAAATAGCAGTTAATAAATACTTGAACAAATGAAGGCATGAGTGTTGTTACGATTAAATAAAATTTCTATAAAACACCAAATACAGGATGTTGCGAATAGTAACTACTCAAAATTATAGCTAAAATGTGAATTTTTTTTAAAAAAGTCTATTCTGCTGAATAAAGTCCAGATTTTCATGGTAAGAAATAGATATTCCTAAAAGTTAAAACCAATTATAGAATAAGGACTTTGAGAAAAATAATAAGCATTACATATTTCATAGAATTTTGAGAAGGGATGGGCCTTAAAATATCCTCCAGTCAAAGCCACTTGTTTTATCAGTGAAGAAATAGACATAGTGGGGACTTGAATAATTTTACCTAATAGTGCATTACCTTCAGTATCCTTTTCATCTAAATACTGTTTCCCTAAGCTTGTACTTCCGTTATTTTATATTTGGATTCCAATTAGCAGTCGCTTCTCGGCCTTTGGCTAAGGTCAAGTGTGGATTCCAGTCAGTGGACTTTACATTGATTTTTATTTTAGCATCTTGTTCCATTTGGGCTGAAGCCTTTCAGTTATTTTAATTCCTGATTCTGTCATCCATGCCGTATTCTAATTAGATTTGTAGATAACATAACTTTTGAGGTCATTATTTAAATCCTTAACAGAATTATTAATTAGCTAGATGAGGACAGAGCCCACTAGAAACCAGGAGGAACCAGCTTCCTTTAGACATAGTGTTACTCAGTGAAATACAAACCCACAAAATGATGTTAGCATGTGCAGCTCGTATTTTTATCTTGTCTGCAGTGGTATCTTGCTCTGCTGGGTTGTCTTTGGGATTTTACACAAGTGACAGACCATCGTGATACAGACTTAAATGTTATTTTATGGCTGTAGGCTTTGATTCTATAAGGTCATAAAACAAAGTTCCTGAATGGGCAGGGGTCCTGTCTGATCACCCCTTTTCTAGCCCCAGATCTGCGGGCAGAGGGAAGAGAGGGCGGGAAGACAGACATTTGTAACCGGGGGGTCAACGTTAGTGTTAGTTCTAGGGTTTAAGTCTATTACTAATGTTGACCCCACAGTTACAAATGTCTGTCTTCCCTCTGCCAATAAAATGTCTGTTTTTCCTTCAGAAACGTAGATGCTTTCAGTGTACAGGCCCGTTTCTTTCTGTTCGGAGGTAGATCCAGGGTAGTTTCCCTGGAAGCGCCCCTGTTCCCTCCGGGGAGCAGAGGCGGGGCTGCGCAGCTCGCGTCCCCCTACCCCCCCCCCCCCGCCGCCGGTCCTGCAGGTGTCCACGCCCCGCTGTGCAGCGGGATGGGGATGCGGGCGCCCAGGGCCGGGGGCGGGGAGCCGTGCGGGGCGTCCCAGTCGCCTAGGGCCGCTCTTGCTTCCGGGAAGGGAAGGGGGCATCCGGCAGGAGCCGGTTTGGCAGGACCTTGCAAGGCGAGGGGCTGCGGGGGTCTCCGGGCCGGCGGGGGTCCCGCCCCGCAGACGGTCGCTGTGGCGCCAGCACTGCCGGGCCGAGGGGCGACGCAGGCTTTTCCAAGGCGCACCCATCCGTCGTCCTTGAAAAGGCCTCCATAGGCCTGGCCCTTTAAGTTAATGCATAACTTAAGCCTGATTGTCCAATAAAAACCAAACAGTTAAACCGGGAAGTCTTTAAAAATAGCCATGTAATCCCCGCTGCAGCGGCTGTAACCCTGCTCCCACAACAGGCATGACTCGCGTGCACCCGGTGCGGGCGCGCTCCGAGACCGAGGAGGACATCCTGCGGGCGGCGCTGCGCAGCCGCGGCCGGCAGCCCGGGAGCCAGGCCGCCTCGGCCTCCGACGACTCCAACGGCCTGGAGTGGGAGAGCGACTTCGTGGGCGCCGACGTGGACGACAACGGCAACTCCGCGTGCGCCGGCTTCGTGAACCCGGCCCTGGACCCGGCCGGATCCGGCGCCAGGCCGCCCCGCGCGGACCAGCGGAGGCGGGACCAGGGCGAGACCGCGTGACCCTGCCGGGCCGGGCCGGGCCGGCCGGGCCAGAGCCCGACGAGCCTGGGCGAGGGCGGCGACCGCCGTCAGTGCGCTGGGGAGGCGGGCGCGTCTCAAGTGCTTCAGAACTAAGTGCAATTCCATCGCCTGCCTTGTTTTCCCAGAAAAGTGAACGGTTCTGTCGTGTGATCAATGACATTTACTTTAACTCCTCCACAGCATTCCTGTTTACTATTTGTAGATTTTCCTTTTTAAAATAATTTTACTAGTTTGACTTAGTATGTTTTCATAAGCTTATTTCAGTAGCTAATTATGAAAATATTAAGGCACTTCGTGCCGCTGCCCAGCCGCCGTGAGGGAGCAGGACGGACGCAGGTCCTAGTCCAGAACAGCCTTTTCCCAACATGGTTTCTTCCTGCCACTGGATTTGATTGTCTCCTAGTAACCACAGTTAATTTTAGTAGATGACCTTAAAGAAACGCTGAAGTATCATTTTTTCCTACACTTAACTGTGCATCCAAGTACAATCATGTTGATTTAGCGTGAAACAAAGGCTATGAGGCGACAAAATAAGCTTTCAGAGTTTGGACACAAGTTGGTAATCAAACGTAACATTGAAGAAAAGTATACATAGGTTTCTCACTTCCTTTTACATGCACTATAAATGCATATTGACTTGTTGATATATTAAATTTCTAGGTGTCTTTTTTTTTTTAATTTTGTATTTCCAATGATTGGTCTTAGGAGGATTTTACACATCATATTCTTTGTGCATGGTTCAGTAAGAAAGGAAACCTTAAAAGGTAATACGGGTATTTCAAAGTAAATAAAATCCTTTCCGGTGTGAAAGGATCTGTTGATTTTTATTGTTTTCCTTTGCCTTGTAATACAAGGCGCATTAATGGGGTAGAACTAAGTATATCGATGTATGTAACTACTCTTTGTGATACACAACAAAGTCTTCTCTCAACTCTAGGTATCAGTGTAGAGGCCGAGGATCTAGACACTCCCTCGCTGCCTGTCCTGCATTGGCTGAGGGCTGCGCTGACTTCAGGAAGTGAATGTGATTTTTGCTTCCCTGTGTCTTGTTCCGGCAGCAGTGACAGTGCCTGTTCTCGAAGGTGCGGGAGAGTCCGCTGTAAATAGTGACTCCGAGTCCTCGCTGCACTTACAGAAGATCACATGGTCCTTTCCGTCGTTGAGCTGCTAGGCAATGTCATCTATAGTTTCATCTTTTTATCTCATAGAAATAAATATGACACATTAAGTATGTAAACATAGTAGGTAATGTTCCTCTTTCAGTTTTAAAATTTAAGTTGTAACTCCATCATGGGAAACGTTTTAAAGGTGATTTGTATTCCCAGTGCCTGCGCTGTGCTTTTTACAGTTTGTATACATCAGATGTGTATTTTTGGTTTCCCATAAGCTACTATTGTAATTTTTTTGGCATTTTGTTCATAAAGAATTTTTTGAAGGAATGGTAACTTCTCAAGGATTGTGAATAAACACATTTTTACATTTAAAAACTAATTTTTTGATTATTGTTTTACTACATAAACACAGTGATTCTGACATAATTATTAAATCTGCTATGAAGACAAAAAGGAGATAATTAGGAAAGCAGGCTAGAAGTAAACTTGAGAATGTATTTTAGCTGCTGAGAAAAGGATTTTTTTTTAATTTTCTTTACTTTTAGAGGGAGGGAAAGGGTGAGACAAAGGCAGAGGTACATCGATCGGTCACCTGTCACGCAGCCGCAGCGGGGACCTGACCCACAGCCCGGGCAGGTGCCCTGCCCGTGAATCAAACCGGCGACCTTTTGGTTTGTGGACAATGCCCAGCCCACTGAGCCACACTGGCCAGGGCAGAAGAGGATATTAATATTCTTTATATGTTTATAAAAACACTAGAAATTACATTAATTTATTCAGAGAATAGAGAATCTCTACGGTATGGTGACAGGGAGGTGGGAGCAAAAAGACAGTGTCTGCTCTTTGCATCCTCGTGAGAGACAGTAACAAATAAACAAATAGAAAACCACAATATCACTAGGAAATACACACGACAGGACGGAGGGTAGCAAGGGACCAAGGGACTGGTTTGGATAAGCCGAGGGAGTCCCCCGCGAGCAGAGGCCCGGGGAACTGAGGCTCTGGGGCGCAGGAGGAGCCCGGCGCGCGAGGCGGCCAGCGAAGCAGGCAGGGCGCAGGGGCGCAAGGTGCGGCGGGGGCTGGGAGGGCAGCGAGCATGGAAAGGCCACGTGGACGGAAGCCCTGCAGGGGAGGTGTGACGACACTTCAGTGAGAGGCCAGGCCATTTGGGCCACGTTCGGAGTGCGTTTTACTCGATGCGGACAGGAGGCCGCGTGCACAGCGGGCACATGCGCGCTCCTCAGAGATGGCCCCGGCTGCCTGCGCCCGTTGTCAGACGGCGCATGGGAACGCGAGCCAGTCAGCTTTAGAAGTGGAGCCCACGAGACTTTCTAATGGGTTAGATATGGGGACAAAAGAAGGGGCGGAACCAGGGGTCACTGCAGGGTGGCACGCGTGACCGTGCAGTGACAGCGACATGTCCTCGCGGCGGCACTCCGCGCAGTCCGACCGCTGGCACAAACGAGTCCGCAGGCGCTACTGGAAATTTCGCAGCTTAGTGCGATGCCCTGTCTCCAACACACCCCCCCCCCCACCTCTGAGCAGCTGTCACCTCACGGGACCCCAGGACCCACTGGCCGTGTGTGGAACTGGAATTGGGAGGCTGGGTTCTCTGTGGGTGGCTGGTCAACTATGGGACTCGCGCGGGCATCCTGGTGGCCCATGTCCGCAGGCGGAGCGAGGGCCTCGTGGACCGCGCGGAGGGGCCTGAGGGGCAGAGCTGCAGGCGTCCGAACGCACGGCCACGACCCGGCCGCGCTGGCCCTGAGAACAGTCCAGGGACAGGCGTTTCCTCGGAGAGACTTGCAAAGAAAATGGCCAGAGAATTAAGCTTTGATTTTATTATGTTGCATGGATGTGCTGTTAACATTTTGAATTCATGGAATTTAAAAATTAGTAGTACAAAAAAGACGGTTTAAAATTTAGTAAGGAAATTGAAAATTCTATACTTTACAGTGGTTCATTAAAATGTTTAAAGTATTGTTTTTAGATGCTGAACATAGATAAAAATTTTATTCTAAAATAAACACTAATTTTGTAGGAAAAACCCCCCAGAAAACCAAGGTACTATTGCCCAAGTAAGCGCCTATATTAAAACCACAGTGACGCACAGACAGCAACTCAGGTTGGTGCCAGCAGGCTACACACCGCTGCCCAGAGCCTTGACCTTGAAAACCAATGGCTGCTTTGAAATACTATGACCAAGAGATGGTTCTTACAAAACAAAACACGGGACTAAAATGTAACATAAAAAGAAAACACTGTAACCTTATTTGAGAACACTCCATCTCAAAGAATATTTTCTGGACATGAACCTTCACCAAAGGTCCGCACGAAGCTATCCTAGTACATGGAGGAAGGCAGCAGGTGACCACGGTCAGCAGACTTCAAACTGGCAGTGCTGGACCCCAGTCGGACCCGTGGCCTGACAGCAACACAGGAGACCGATGCGCGTGGCCAGGGGGCGCCCGCGGGGTCCCCCGCGCTCGCTCCCGCGTGGCTCTGCTGCTCTCAGGATTGGGTTTCATCGCTTTCCACGGGGGAGGTGCTTTTGGTGGAACAGGATGAGAAACCGGTGTACTCGGGCACCGGTGTGTGCGCCGGCCAGCTGCTCTCCTGCAAGAGGGGCCTCGGGGACATCGTAAAAAGAACCTCGAAAAGCTCCAACGACTCTCCATCTTCTTTCTCGATCAGAAACTGGTAGTCGCCAAATCTGACCATGCACTTGTAGGGCAGGTCCATTTTGTTCAGGTAGCCCAGCTCCTTGTTGTCCACAATCAGGCTGGTCTTCTTGCTCATATTTTTAATTTCGAAAGAGAGAACTGAGCTACCGAACTTTTTAAACAGCTGCAGAGAAAACTGAACTCGGGAAACCTGTTTGTCCTGAAAAATATAATGACAGATGTTGGAATTTCGGCCAAATTTCACCGCTTCGCAGGAGGGCCATTTCTCTCGGCTGTGAAACCTGATGGACTGGAACACCCCAGTGTGCATCTGGCCAGGATGGTAGGCGGTGACCCGGAGACAAGTCAGCGTCTCCTCCGTGTCGGCATCTTCGAAGCTGGACATGGCGGCGATGGAGCCGCCCACCTGCAAGAGGCAAGCGGCGTCAGCGCCCTCCCTGTGCCAGGCAGGGGACCTCGTTCTAACCCCCGATGGAAGTCTTCTGACAGGTGACTTACTCAGATTTTAAATTAAGAAAACAATGCACAGGATACTTTCAATCCCATGGGAAATCGTACCCCAGGCCCCATGAACTGGTGTCTTACCTTCTCCTACCTCCTTAGTTTTCATTTCTAGTTCGACGATAAGACAGTACATGTAATCTGATAACAAAAGGAGTAAGAGTTGGTAACAAAGTGGTTTGTGGGGCGCGTGACGAAACCTCAGTTTCCTTCTCACTTAAATAGAGTGACTTAGGCCCAGACAAAATGCGACGGCTGTACTTTAACAAGCAAAGGAGGAATAAAGAGCCCCTTGGTTTGATTAACAGTTAATGGATGTATTAACTGTTATAATTAGATGTATATTAGTTGTGAAACCTGATTAAAGAACTTAAAAGCCATAAATAATTGCAACAATTAACTTTATCCTCATTTATATTTTTAGTAGGCAAATGATTAAAAATAGTAAATTATTTAAAAGGTTATTTTACTCTTATGATTTTTATTTTTTTAATATTTTATATATTTACTTCTCTTTAGAGAGAGGGAAAAGGAGGGAGAAAGAGCGGGAAAGAAACATCAATGGAAGAGAGACAAACGGGTCAGCTGCCCGGCCCGCAACCCAGGCCTGTGCCCTGACTGAGACTCGAGCTGGCGACCCTTCAGTTGGCAGGCCGGCGCTCGATCTACTCAGGATTTTAAAATTCAGACATTACAGAACTTTAAAACATCTCCATGAGGTAGTTCTAAATATGATCTGTACTCACACTGGATTATTTATGTTTGTCAGTGGTCCCTAACGACTGAACAGATAAACTGTCATCAGCCTCTAACATCTATTAACTGCCTCCAGGCCGCACCTGCCTCCAGGCCGCACCTGCTTCGGCTGCACCTGCCTTGGGGGGGGGGGGGGCGGGGGGGGGAGTGGGTGTCGGAGCTCCTGAAACCTTTGAGAGGTTATTTTGACACTGAACTACCATTTAAAAACCACTTTAAAAGAATTACACACGCATGATCGCAAAATTCAAACAGTAAAAAAAGGTTTTTTAAAAAAAGTATCTTCACTAGGTGGAGGGGGCCAAAAAGAAAAAATCAGGATTTAACTGTAATAAACAACTTAAAAAAAACAAAACGAAAAGTATCTTCCCTCCACCATGATACTTTGTTTCCTCTTCAAAAGTAGCTGCTGTAAAAGTTTCTTCTATTCTCACTGTACACAACAACCCTAACAGACCTTACAGTTTTCATTACTAGTACAAATGAGTGTTCTTTTTCCATATCTACACATATAAATACACCTCATTCTTTACCAGTTGCGTGGAGCCCTCTGACCTAGTTGGGAGACATTCTCTAAATCCTGTATTTGGGGCTTGGGAATCAATAGTCTTCAGTGAAGACGGTTTGTAACTTTAATGTTTTCTGTTTGCCACCTATATTAGATGTTAATATCAGAGCTAGTTTTAAAAAACAGAATGCTTTATTTTCTTTCTATGGTTCCTGCTATTTACTTCTAACATACAATTTCTTCTTGTTTCTTAAAGTTATGCTGCTAAAAGTCATTCTATCAATACATTCACCAAATGACATAACTTTTTTCATTTTTTCCTAACTTTTTTATCCATTTGGGAGTATATCTTAATTCTAAATGTCCTTTTGTAGTCGGTTCTTTTGCGCATTATTGAATCGCAGCGCGCTGCCCAAGCAGACACCGAAAGGGCCGCTCAGGCCGCGGGCCGCTCTGCGGTCGGAGCCGCCACGGAACCGACGGCGGCCGGACTCACGCCCAGCGGCCGACCCGTGACTCGGCCCCGGGCCGTGACGGGAAGCTCTTCTAACGCGGACACCGGCAGCCGAGGGAGCCGCCCGGGGCGCGCAGGGGAACCGGCAAGAGCCCGGCCGCGTGCGCGGCTGCCTCAGGTCCGCCGCCTCGGGCCGCGGGGAGCGCACGCGGGCGCTGGGCCCCGCCTGTCTCTGCGAAGCGCCCGGACCTGCGACACGGCGGGGGGTCAGCAACCCTCAGGAAAGACAGAACCTAACAAAAAAACCTAAAAGCTAAAATCGGTGGATCTATTATTTAAAAACAGACAAAAACCAAAACTTAAAAAAACCCACCGGTGTGCAGCTGCTCCAAAGCAGCTTTTTCGAATCGGACGCAAGTTACCCAAGAAGCCAGGGCGCCAAGGAGCCCCCGCAGCGGCGACGCGGCACCGGGCGCCGGGAGGGGGCTCCCCCGCCCTCGGAGCCTTTGACCTTTGGACCACGTGCACCCAGTATCTAGTCAACATTTCACAACTACTTCCTTCACGGAATCACGAACCTTCTGACTTAATGGAACTCGGTGAAGCCGGGGACGAGCTAAATACCATTAACGCTGAGAACTGCGACACCCGACGCGAAGCGGCTGCGAAAACACGGTACCGGTCGGCACGAACCGCAACAAACGGACACGCCCCGCAACGCGGCGCGGCTCTGCCCGCGGGGGCGCGACCGCACCGACGGCCGGACGGCCGGCTCCGCGCCGGGACGCGAGGCGCCGCAGAGGCGCCGACCTGGGGCCGCGGGCGTCGGCGCCTGACCGGCGGGGGCGGGGGCGGGGGCTCGGGGCCGATGCCCGCCCCGCCCAGCCGCCCGCCCGCGGTCCCGCGAAGGCAGTGCCCACATCCCTATCCTCGCCCGCGGACGTGGCTTGGCCTCCAACTGTCACGCACGAAGGGAGAGATTTTCGGTTAGAGGAGCCAGGTGTCCACGCTGTTTCACAGCTGGGCGCCCCGGGGGGCCCTGCGCGCCAACGGCTGCCTCCGGGCTTCAGCGCCCGCTCTTCAGAACGACGCCGCCCGCAGGGACGGAGCCGGCCCTGGGGGGCGCGCGTGCCCTCTAACGGCTTTCCTCCCGCCCCGGCCTCGCAGTGGCTTTGCTTTCCCCGATGAACAGGCAGCGCCCTGTCCCCGGGAGGGAACAGGAACAGCGGACAGTTCCCAGGGTCGCCACGCTCCCCCGGGTGCGGCAGCTGCTGGCGCCTCAGCGCGGAGGGGGCGCAGACTCACCGCGGCGGCCTCGACTGGAAGGCGCTGGGCCCGCGGCGCCGTGTTCGGGGCGGGGCGGGGGCGTTTTCCGTCGCCGCGGGCGGCCGGCGGCTCCCAGGGGTCTGGGCTGCAAGCTGCGGGCGGGTGGGACGCCTCCTCCAAACCGAAACCGGGGCACGTCCCCGGAAACAGCGGATTCCTCTCCTCCCCGACGCGCAGCCCGAGCCAGCGGGCCCTTCCCGGGCACACAGCGGCGCGGGGACGGCCACCGGCTCCGGCCCTTCCGCCACGGCCCCCACAAAATCCCGTCCGCGCCCCGCCCCCGCCCCGCCCCCGCCCGTCCGTCCCCGCCCACCTCGCCGGTCCCCGGACCCTCCGGCACCGCTGCAGCCCCCGTGGCTCCCGCCACCGGAGCCCGGGCCAACCTTCCGCGCGGTGACCGGCGGGGCCGCACCGGCCCGAGCGCGCGCGCGCCCGGGAGGCTCTGACTTCGAGAGGAACCGGAGTCGCTTCCCGTGAAGAGCGACTCCCGCCCCGCGCCCCGCCACTAGTGTCGGCCTAGGACGCGTGCGGGGAGCCGGGAGCTGAGCTGGGTCCCGGCGGCAAGGTGCCCGGGGCGCGTTGTCCCCGGCGGGGTCCCGGGCGGGAGAGCAGGTCCCCTTCCAGACGAGCAGGCCGAGGCCCTGGAAGCTGTGAGCGGCCTGCGCGGAGAAGGGCGGGGCGGGGGCAGCGGCAGCGCCCGGACCCAGCGCGGACCGGGGACCTTCCGCCTCGGGGACGAGGTCGGGGGAACAAGGCGGGGGGAACCTAAAGGCGACAGGCGTCTGGGAGGTGGGAGCGGGGCTGCGCGGAGGCGCGGCCGGGGAGCCTTGCGCGCCGGCCGAGCCCCCGCGGCGCCGCCCACGCGCTCCCCGGAAAGGCCCGTGCGGATTGCTGCTCCGTCCCGGCTTCGGACGACGCCGGCGGGCGCGGGGCGCTGTGGACGCCCCGAGCGAGGCCAGGCGCCCCCGGGGTCAGGCCTGGGGAGGAAGGTGCGTCTGCGGGGCGCGTTGCTGGTCTTTCTGGCTGTTAATCATCAACCCAGGTTATTGCTTCTCTGAAATAGAGGCGGCAGAACGTGGGAGCGGAGAAAACCTGGCATTTGACTCTGTCAATAAACTCATAAAATACAATGATATTATCAGATAAAATTTCTGATCTCTAACCTTTAAAATGAAATGTATGACAATGCATAGGCCGCAGAGGACTGATTAAGTAGGTGTTATTAGTAGCAATATTAGAGAAAATGCAGCAGTCGCTAAAATGCATGATGCTGGTGGTTGTTTGTTTCCTTTAAGATGAATTGTTTGATTTACTCAACGCCCCAAAGTGAGACATTTGAATAAGCCTTCAGTTCTAGGTCAGAATCTATTCTCTGACGGCTTCCGCCTCTGCCAAGCGGCCAAACGCAGCGGCCTGGCTGCGTGTTCCCTTTTTTAACAAAGCGGGGGGGCGGGGCGGGGGGGGGGGGATTTGCCCGAGGAAATGGGAGTTGCTGGCGGGGAGGGGGCAAAGGGGGAAAAATTGGGACAACTGTAAAGTATAATCAATGAAATAGATAAAATTAAATCAAAGGGCATGTATTGTTCAATGTTATATGAAGTTCTGGAGGGAAAACATTAGTAATAAAGATCAGAATAGTAAAAGCAAACACACACGACACCCCGAGGCACAGACACGTGCCATTGCGGCCTCCCCGACTTCCTGAAAATTGAGGAAAGGCCAGGAAAACTCCGGGGAGCCTGGAAGGGCCGGAGCCGGGGAGAAACAAGGCCGTTTTCGTCCGTCACTTTACTTTGCTGAGTTTTCTGAAGGTACTTGGGGGATATTTTTAAAAGAAGTGATTTTTAAATCTCTAATATCGAAATCAGGCAAAGTAATTTGTAACAGGTGCTTTATTTTATTAGTTTGTTTTTATGTAAAACCACTGAAAATATTTTATACTGCAGTTGTATTGCGGCCCTTGGAGCGCTTTCGGGGAAAGGACCGAGCGTCTCTCCCTGGGCGGTGCGGTGGCTGCCGCGAAGTCCCTCGGCCTTCGCCTGAAGGGACCTCCCTCAACCCAGCAGGTTCAGAAAGGCCCAGACGAAGGAAAACGCTGTTGATGTCAGTAACTTCTCCGCCTAAACCCTTGAGCGGCCGCAGCGGCAGGTAGGCAGCCTGAGCGGAGCCAGGAGGGGGCCGGGCGCGGGCGCCGGGCGCGGCGGGACAACACGGACCCCGCCAACAAGGTGACCTCCGGCCCCAGCGGACAAGGTGACCTCCGGCCCCAGCGGGCCTCTGGTCATGCGATGGGACAGGCCCCTGGCCTTTCATTTCTGGTCAGGCGGCCCAGACCCTCCCCTGGCCTTTCCTCCCCGGCACCTCGTTGGTCCTGTGGGTCAGACCCCCTCAAAGTGGGAAGGAACCGGCGGAACAGCCCCTAAGCACGAAGCCCCCAAGACAGCGAGGTTCTGACCGCATCGGATACTCGCAGGCCTCGGTGGTATTTCAGCTCCAGGCCCAGAAAAGCAGCAGAACTGGACAAGTGACCGCACGGCGGCCGTCAGGACCAGCTGCAGTGACCGGTGACGCCTGTCCCGGCGCCGGCGCATCAGCAGAGACCAGACCCTGAAGGGACCCGCCTGGACAGCGGGGGGTGCTCTGCAGGGGTCCTGCCCGGGCCTCTCCGGGGGGGGGGGCCCCCCCTGCGCCGCGCCCTCCCGGCGCCCCCACTCTTATAGTTTGAAAAAATAGTTTTTCAATAAAATGTTAAAAATATAAACATCTTTTCAGATGCTGTTGATTCTGTTTTGTTAAGCTCTGGAGCTGCAGACTTAGGCTGTTCAGTTGAAGGGCCGTGTCTACCTACCAGTCAGTCCTCACTGTCCAACCAGCTCGATGAGATTTTCTGGGAGAAAAATCCTGCCTTCGCTTTTCAGTTCACGCACACCGGGTCGCGTGCGTGTGCTTGTGGCCCCGAGCTCACGTCTGCACTCTAATTCCATCTGATTCGGAAATGCACCGGCGCTGGCTTGAGCCTTCACGTGAGTCTGGTTTTTGATGATACATCAAAACATGTCATGTTCATTGTTTCTCACTGACATTCTCTGTCCCCTCAGCTGTCAGGGGGCTGATCCTCCATTCTGTGTCCAAATCAGAGCGTTTTCTTGCACTCTGTTTAAAAGAAGGGATTTCCTATAGTGACACAACGCCCAGAACACCCTTCTCCGAGCCATCCCCAGAGGGGTGTGTCTTAAGACACAAACTGCTGGGAGTTACACAATCATGTGGGAGAGGGACCGGTTTTGCTTTCACTCACGTCTGCTTCCTGAAACTGAAGCTCTTTATGGGAAACAGTATTTCAAGGAGGTCGGGCTGAATTAACTTTTTTCAGAGTGTTTTTCATTTTCTTCAAGATAAAAGTGAGTATCAACCTTTACATGTCAAAACTCGGTGGCTGTGGGCACAAAGGGGTGGAACAGGAACTGCTGATGTGGGCCGGCTCGTTCCAGACATTGAAGTTCTGAGTTATGGGCTTGGTTTAATGTGAATTAATATGATCCTTAGTGTGTAAAATCTATGACATAATCGATATTATTGTTCAGAAAGGTGTTAAGTAAAAAGAGAATGAGGCAACTTACTGTTGATTTCATGGAAGCGATTAAATAATACTATTGCAGGTGATAGGCCGGCAGGGTTAGCACCGAAGGTGACTTGCGAGTGCCTCAAGTTTTGGAAACACTGTGTTAAAGTGTTTGTGAAGTGGAGCTTTCCTGTGGTATGTTTGAACTTTGCTGGCCCTTGGTTATAGAGCTTAATTGATTAATATAGTTTGTTGAATTTCCTAACTGTTGTCAATGTAAGAAACATTCAAGCCTGTAGAGAATTCAGCAAGTTCATTTCAGCCAAACTGACTATAATTGCCGGGAAGCAAAACCTCAATGGGTTGAGGAAATGCCCCAGAGAAGGGCAGTTCTGCAGCTTATTTTATACATTACGATCAAATAAGAGGACGTTAGGGGCTTACGTGAAGTCCACTGGAGACAGATGAGGGAGGCGGGAGGGAGTGAGGTAGGGGGGCCTCTGGGAGCGGATAAAAATGAAAGAGAGACACAGACTTCTCTCACATGGGTGGGCACAGGAGAGTTAACAGGCAGCAGCTAACACAGTAGTAACAGTGAGGGGGGTTGTGGTCTCCTCTTTGGTGCTTTGGTGCAGTATCTGTGTTTTGAGGTCTGGAAAAGGAAATTGCTTTGACACTCTAAAGGTGTGTTATTGTATGTGCAAAAGGACAACAGACAGGCTCGGTTAAGGTAAAGACTGACCTTTGACAGGGAAGATCCTAGCCTAGAACATCGCTACCTGCCATGAGCTGCTTTTAGTTAATAAGTTTTCATTCAGACCATCCTTGTGGTTCCTTTAGGTCCCTGAGTTTGTAAGGCCACCACACAGCCTCCCCTGAGCTGGTCGGATTAGTATGTGGCCCCTTTTCTTTCACATTATAAATATACACAATATTCATAGATAAAAACTGCCTTATCAAACTTTCATCAGGCCGGTACTTGTTCACATTTCCTTATCCATTGCCATAGAACTGGAGGAGGCCGAGGTGGCCAGCATTTCTGAAATAACAACCAGAGAAGGCGCAGGACCCCAGGGCGAGCCCCACTGCCCCTCTCTGCCCGCCTCCCGGCCGGGGCGGGGCGACTTCACACAGCATCTGGGTGAAGGGCTACAAATGTATCATGATATGTGCCAACAGCCGTTAAAAAATGGCCATATTGGCTATTTCTTTTTGGGAATCCATTCTAGGGAGGAAATAGTAATAAATATGAAGAAAATTCACCCAGGGTTTCATCACAAAGGTATTTGTAGTAACGAAGAATTGCAAGCGTGCTGGCGAAGGGGAAAGGTCAGGCAAACCATGGCAGACCCCGGGGCCCAACGGGACGGACCGGCACTGGTACGGGCCCAGGTCCATTAGCGGCTGTTCTCACAATGCCGGCACGGAACGGCAGAGGCATAGTTCGCAAGCACTCTAAGGGGTGATTGTGTCATAGTGGCGGGTTACTTCCCTCCCTTCCTTTTCTCTATTTTTATATACAAGGGTCTGTCCAGAAGGTATCAAGCCATGTACTATGAAAAATAGAGACATTTATTGAAGAAAATACAGGATACAAGAAACATTGTACAGAGGATAATGATGTTCCAGTCCCCTTCAAAGGGGCACCGTGGGCCCTCACACAGGT